CACTGTAATCCTCCCGAATGAGATGCTTGAGCTCAGCGCTGGCAGTCTTTTGCATTGAAAGGCACTCTTTGCCAACGGACATTATTCGACGACCTCCAGGAAGGTGATATTGTGTATAAATCTGGTGTTCAACGAAACTAATAGTAAAATATTGAATAAGACCACAGAGTTGTGTTTGGGCTTGACACTGTGCGTGACGCATTTCATTGTCTGGGCATGAAGCTATCCCGTTTAAGGCCAGCGCATCAAGAGATGGGCTGGCAAAACTGGCGTACAAAACTGGGCTAAATCTAGAGGTTTCCGTCAACCTTTTGCTGTGCCATAAAAGCGTAGCATGACCTTGGAACATAAACGCATGGTCCATAGTAAGATATGCTATCCAGAGTGTTTTGCGTAAATTCATGCAGCGTCGCCATCTGTAACGGCAACGTGGTTAACTAAATTTCACAACTAACCAGCTGGTGTGCATCTCCAAATGGCGTATTGGTGACAGGGCGGCCGAAAGCTAGTATTCCAGCAAGGGATGTCAAACTGTACAAGCTAAAGTAGGCGACGACCGTTATTGACCTTGCGAGTATTATGATCTTAGTAACTATAAAGTTCATGGTCGTCAAATCCGAGTTGGTCGTCGCACAAGTAGATAGGTACGCAGCAAGAACCGCAATATCGGCATGGCGTTTTCTTCGGGAAACACTAATGGATTGACGGTATAACTCATTTTTAACTGAGTCCTGGCTGAAGCCTGTGGAAGCACGCACAGTTTCAAAAACAAACAACTAATGGCTCTACTAGCGGACGGTTGGATTGCCTCTAGTCGGATCACACAGACAGCTGGTGGTTGGGCTCCAGCCTAGTAGCGCAGATTCGGCAGATTTACTAAATGCAATCCCAAAGCCTGTGGTAGCCGGGGTAGTCGGGGTTTCCAGATAATCGCAGTGTAGAATGCCAACGAAAATTTTGCATAGTGAAACTAACTATGGCATCACGCTGGGGTCCCGTTAGCAAGTATCAATTTGAGAGCAAATATCAAGGACTTTGGCTAGTTGAAATGAGCAACGACTGTCCGTAACCACATCTGTATCAACGTACGAACATTGAAAGCAGCCAGCTCAAAGTGCGAAAAGAACGCCTATGAACAAATGCTAGTTTTGGGTTATATTCTTGATTAATGCGGCAAACATTCTCGCCTACTGCCGCACATTGTTGTGTGTACAAAAACTTAGAATACATATCAGCAGTACGCTGGCACGCAGTACCAACGCTTCGCTGCCGCGTAACCACCAACAGTCGCGCCTGGGACACACATACTATGAGTGTTACTCGGTTCCCCACGCAGGCCCACACAGAATCATGTGGCCACCTATGTAGTTCATCCACCGTGCGCTCATGGTCGGCAACTCTATAGCCTGTTATATTGGCGTTAACACAACGGTGTATAAGCCGATGCGCTGTCACATGCAAACTAAATGATCATTTCAGAAGTTGAACGCTCTAAGACGCTGCCACTAAGTGTCTGTGATTTATTATTTGACTCGCCTGTGAACAAAATAGAATTATTCACAGTTACCTTCGCCCATCAGGTCGACGACTTAGCCCATCAGGTCGACAGACATGAAGAGGCTCGTCACATTTGATCATCGATGCCTTCGCAGCTTAGCTCATGTCTGGTGGGAACGCGGCGTGAGCAAGGAGCGTGTTCGACGTCGCGTATTTGATGCAGGAAGAGCGAGTGAACCGCTCAGCACCAGTATATCCCGCACCAGGCTCCGATGGTTGGGCCACGTGTTGCGCATGCCAGCACACCGACTCCCGCGACGTGCATTGTTTGCACATTGTGGGTGCGGTTGGAAGAGGAGGAGGGGAGGCCAAGTGATGACTCGGTCGAGAGAAATGAAAACCCTCACTTCAAATTTGGCGTCGGTTGGTGCATCCCGACTGCCTGGCTGGGGTCCTAAGGATGGTGAACACGTTTGGTTGGACACACTTGTTGATATGGCTAGGAGCCGGCCCCAATGGCGTTTGTGTCGTGAGTTCCTTTGTCCATCCCCTCCAGTTTAGCATCCCCCTCCAATCACGATCTCAATCTTTAGGCATAATATGACTTTCTTTTACGGCAGCCAGCTGTTAGCTCTCCGGAACGATGTCCCTCCGTTACTGGGGACTCAGCGGGCGTGCCACTGTTTGTCTTTCTTTACCTGCCTTTTGTATTGCGGCACAATAGCTGAGGTGTTTTCCACATCCAGCTAACGTGTAATGATGATGATGACCTTCGCAACGAAGGCCTTATCCATTGGCAACTTGTGGACGCGCCCAGCAGCGTACAAATTTACCAAGCCAACGGGTAGTTAGTTTATGTCCGATACCATTTCAGGATAACTTATACGTTTTATGTCTGAGATCATGTGAATTCCAATTATCGTTTTTATGGGACTTATTAAACTGTAGTTACATCGGCTTTCAACTAAGTAGCCCTTTGAAGAGAATGTCCTATCAGAATATACCGGTGGGTTAACCAAGCGAGCTAGCTAGCGGAGGTGACCACTGAACACAGGCTGGCCGACTTGTGTGTGGGTTGCGTACAGCTTGTTTGACTATCCATAGATGGAACCGTAATGACTCGTAAGGGTCGTTGGTTATGAACGTTAAAGAAAAATTTATATCAAAGCGGTTGGCTTACCCTACGTATTGTAACTTTTGCTGAGGTAATCTGTTTAAATAAACGCTTATCATTAAAGGATTGAGTTCTACACACACTCAGCTTAAGTACAAGGACTCTCGGTCTGAGTAAAGTATTGTTTCCATATTTTGACAAACCGATATGGTTCCATGTTTCAAACTTGCAGACAGCTTCCATTTATCTGGCAAATTTGAATATATTACCGGCAGCAAGCTTTTGTGTGTGCAGCAGTCAGCACACTATATAGAGAAAGCTGTAAATCAAACCAGTGGCCAGCAACCAGAGGCCTAAAGCAACGTTACCCCGAATCTTTGTCGCTAATGCCATCGGACGGTTGAGCGTTCCAATAGATTTTGATCAGACACATACAATAGACAAATCCAGAACTAAAGCAATGACCAGTTTTTTCAAGAATTAACGCATATGGTACACATGATGATAAACGAAGCAACATAACCTGGTGGCAGATTGCGCGGTAATTCAGGTCAGACATATTTTAGCTTTTGCGTCAGAATTGAAAAGTTGTATGAGTATTAACACGTGCCAAATAAATCTTATAAATTACACGAGAGTGTAGCGTTAGATGTCTACTTCCTTGCAGAATACAGTATACTTTATTCAGATAACCAGCTGCAAAATGGCACAACTTGTTCCTCAATGTCAAGCGCATTTTTACCGTATTTTGATATATTCATTGTACTAGACGTAACTTTCTTAACTATACCGTCCTTATTCTGGAATCCTACAAGCATGATTCGGCTATTACGGTTTCAACCAGTAACTAAAAGAGCGGTTTGGTATGACTCGAAACCAATCTCAGTCAGGATAGCTGTGCGTATCCCAGGAAGCATTAGACCGCAACTTTTGCCTACTATCTTCAAAATAATGATTCAAACCACTAACTTAAAAGTAAGGTGTTGCATGTGTCATTTATTTGTAACGAAGGTTAGAATTGTGCAGTGGATAAATTAGAAGAGGATTAAGCGACATAATAGTACCTTATCGGATTTTTGGTGGCTGAATAGTTGGCTGCAGTTGAGACAACTCTTCCACAAAATAAATCCAGATATTTTACTTTCGCTACTTTCTATCAACTAGCTGTGCTTGTTCTTTTATGATGCTGGACAAAAGTTACACTATATAAACCAACGTTTATGAGTTTACATGATAAAAAAGCTTCCTAGGGACGTCGGAATTGCCTATTGGTTACATGCGTGCGCAAAAGCAAATAAATCCTCTTCAGTGTACGTTTCGGACGGATTTCCGGAGTGTAAAGCATCTAAAACCATCGCTATTTAAACAATGTAGACTCATGTTACATTCTTCCTAAACTCGAATGTGCATAGTAGACATTATAGACCCACAGACTATCGACAGTATGATCCGCACATCTGAACGTGCGTCCTAGAATAAGGATGAGAGTAAAGGTTATTTATTTCCATTTATTGGCAGAGCTTTAAAGTGCATTAAAAACTGTGTCGCCTTCTTACTTGTCTGTGGTGTTACATATAGTGTAACTCACCAAACACAATAATCAGACGCCAGATCGCACGTAATATTACTGATCAAAAATGTTCGTTAAGGCGAACGCTGGGGCAGACTGAGTAAACGAGTTTGTGACACTGGCCGTCCCGATGAGACACACATGGGAATAATTTCGGTCAATAAAAAGTGTCTTTCAGTATAACCATAACATATACCTTGAATGCATTTTCTTGGTTTTAGATACCAGGAGAAACTCCATTGCAATGCGTACAAACGCAGTAAAAAGCCATAAGGCTATACAAAACAGTTCTTTTTTAGACCGAACTTTGTCCCAAATTTGCATCATCGGGACGGCCATGGGCACCAAAGCTGTTACTCAACGACGTTTTACCTTTCTCTTGCATTGACTGAAAGTACAATTTCACAAAAAGGTAAGAGTTATAGGTATTTGATGGCGGTGTAAATGATGTCTTATAATACTTAAGAACTTTGTTATGCATATTAGGCTATTTCTTCTCCTATTTTTTCAAGCTGTAAGAAACCGAATCCTTGCCCAAACTAAAACGAGTTGCCGTTCATCTGTTTCGAAAATGCTTCAAAAAGGTTCGATTATAAACCCAAACAGTTTTGCATCAGCTCCGAAGAATTGGAATAATAATACTAACCCACATTCGTATATAATGGTTTTACACTTTGGAATAGCCTTGGTTTGCCACCCAGGCAGTAAACGTGACTAGCTACCTAAAAATGAAATGAACAGTCATGGGTAGCAAATCAAGTTTCAGATTTCGACGGCGCTGCAAGTCCGTATATTTTCCTAACAACAGATGGCACTTACCTATGTAAAACATGGTAGCGTAAAGTGTTTGCACTTTGTTTCAGTTGCTAATATGAAAGTGTATTAGAAAGAAGGGAGTCAAATTGCACAGCGTCCATGGTTGCAACTTAAGAAGCTGTAGATAATGAGTGCCTGAACTTTACATGCACATTAAAATGGTACAATGAGTAGAGTAGTCGTACAAATATTGCATTCGCTATAATGTTGTATTTGATGGCACTGTCGTACCTGTTGAAGGTGCTGAACTGTGCCAATCCTTACAAATGGGAAATAGTCCAAATATAACGATGCTCTCAAGGCAACTTCCGCGATGTCTAATTAGCAGTTAGATAAACAAAAAGGAACTGGGCGGAGGTGGAAATCTGTGACTCTACTACCTTGATTCCGTTGTCCACTGTTTCCATCTCGGATATTCGTGACGACTTGTCTGTTACATGAAACTCTCCGTTGCTAGTCACTTGAACTCTGGAGCATACACGACAAAACATAAACATCTATGTTGATAGGTGTGTGAGTTTTAGTAAACAATTGTACAGTTTTCAATAATCATATGCAACACATGCAATGACAGAAAAAATGCGTCGTTAGAAGCCAGCTTCTAGCGCTGTACAATGTTGCTGCTTAAATGTATAGATTTATGGGTACTATAGAACTTAGTGATTATGTATCACTAAGTACAATTTAATTAATAAACATGGTGCTAATTTCTATTTCAGAAGTTTACTTGACGCGTTTTATCTACGGTCAGGCAAGTTCCAGAACCATGTAACTGAACAAAAAGACCGAGCCTTTACTTATCAAGAGACTCAACTGAACATAGAGGTTACAACGGAATTCATTAGCCATGAATATCTAATTAACGGTTCCTTTTTAAGAACTTGTTGCGAGAACCGGCCGCGACGCGAAAACTCACTGTAGACAGCTTTACACATTGAAGTGAACCTTGTTCATTGTTCATCACTACGACCGTAAATGATTAAACAGATAATTACAGGGTTTCGTTATGGGGACTAAAATAATGAAATCGGGAATCATGTGTGACCAGCACAGTCCTCACCAAAAAGCTATATCATTGGTGTCGGTTTTTGGTATGCTTATATGAAGAACAAGCACAAAAATGAAACCCCATGATGCAAAATCGGTACCGTAAATGAAAACAGGTTAAAATAACACTGTTATTAGCTTTTTGTTCTTGCTACAATATTAATTTTGATGAAAAAACAGTTAGATGTTACCAAAACAATTGTCAGTAAAATCCTAGTTAAGTACTTTTATATAACAATCTTTATCTCGGACCATCGAAGTTGCGGGCCTTGCAAACGTTCACCGCAGGATTAAGGTTGGAATGCAAATTCGATCACAAAATTGGTGTATAATATGTAGATAATTAGAGAGAAAATTTAGGACAAGAGTCAAGTAAATAGAGGATTTTTAAAATGCAGTTGCCCATTTACTGTGATGTATTATGTGCAGTTAGTAACAAATTAACACCCCATGGTTAAGTAGTAAATACACAGATAACACGAAATGTTGCAAGATTGTCAAAATAAATAAGATATCTGAAGTATATGTGCGGTGAACAATGCTACACCTAAAGCGCCAGCACTTTGTTATGAGATTGAGGTACTTACATTTCACAGAACGACCAAAACGAGCATAATGTGGCTATGTATGCCTGTGCTAATTATACAAGCGAAAAATGACGAAAAATTGACAAGTATCCGCATGTGTTTAATAACAGGAAGTAATTTGTCTAAAGTACGATATACATTCAAGGTAACTCATATGGTTATTTGTAACGTCTATACATTTCATTTATGCACATTTTCATATTCTATACAAAAATCAAAATGCATTTTCGCGGGTTTTACGTTATCGTTGATTTATTTATTGCTATTTTAAGATAAATATCTGATTTTACACAAGCTAATTACTAAAACCGTTAATGTGCCATGTTGTACCTCGGTAACACGTAGGCCCACTTGGAACGTCCAAATAATCGAAAACAGCTGACCGCAATTTGGAGCCGGTAATGCTTGTTGTGCTGGCTGTTATCAAGGAAGGTTATGAATTACGTTGTGAAGGACTGATAAGGATTGATAACATTATCTTATTTTCGGGCAAAGTCAAAGGTTGATACGTCTTTCTATGCAGTATGGAAACAGGTTTGTTTTAGTGAGCAGGTATTGTTTCGGTGACGCTGAAGTAACTGCGATGACGGTAGATTGCAATGTTGCACTCCGCGCTGTTTTCGTTAATATTCTGGCATTTATAAATTCGCAGATTTGAAGCCGTTTCGCATGCAGATGGCAACGACCTGTTACAGATTTGAAGTCTAACCGCTGCGTCATATAAGAAGAGGTCAGGGCAAAAGCTATTTGTAGGGATACTGTACAAATATCGTTGTGTGCCTTGCAACAGGAAAGAAAATGGTTGCAGTCGGTAAGCGCGAAGGTTATTTTGGGTGAAATATATGTCGTATAAATATGGCAGCTTGGGTTGTAAGGCGAGCATATCCATCAGTGTTAAAGGCATTTACTATGAGATTGGTACTCATAGTATGGTGCATAATCATATTTCCCACCTGGGGAATCCGTTTATATGTTAATGCTTGGCGCCTGACTCCTGATGCCGAGTGGCAAGTGCTTGCTTTGATGCAACCGTTCCCTTATACCTAAAGAATTACAAGGCTATGTATTAGAAAGCTACAGAAAAATTACTCAACAGGACCTTTTTCGACCTGATATCGTTTCGGTGGCACGTAAGAGGGAAACGAGGTAAACGCGCTTGCAGAATATTTGCGTAGGTATGGCGCCTGTGGACAGAAATCGTCCGCAGGTACGATTTTTATTTTTCCTTACTCCATTGGTTAGTACCGTAGTTGCGAAATACAGGTACGTGCGTCTTGCATTTGCCACGCAGCAGGTGCACCGTGGTAGTTACATTATTTACACTGTATGGTAAGTTACGGTAACGGCGTTTGTTGCAACTTGTTTTACTCATTCATGCCCAACGAAAAGGCAGGTATTTACCTAGAGGTTAGCAAATGTTAGCAATGTTGCCCATTACCCACTCGGTGAACAAAATAGTGGTGGATAGGTGCCTGAGGCAACTGAAGGCATGTAAGTTGCTTTATCAGCGATCCATGGTGGTATTATGCCGTTTTCCTATCTTGCGGGACATTTCTCGCGGATGCCAGTCTTTGTCAAAAGCGACAAAGGCTGATAGTTTTGTTAAGGTAGGGGATGCAAGCTGAGTTCACACTAAAACGGAAAAGCAGTTTAAAATTTTTGGTAGAGCTATAAGCGTTAATAGCAAAGAGGCTTTCATTTAACCTTGTCGTACGTGGTTGCATCGCACAGGGATTTTGGAGTACTATCGGTTCCGCAAAGTCCGCATGTTGGTTGCGTTCAACGCAAACAGCGTGGAGAAGGAAAATACGCATCTACGTTTGGGCTTAAGCGAGAGGAGGGCACAAGCACAACTAGTTGTTGAGGTTGTTCGAAAACACGGCATGTTGTTTAAGCATGAGCTTCCCGGTGGCCAAGTTGTCCATGTCGAATGCCCGAACGTTTCCAGGTATTAGGCATGTGAATGTGGTGGTATCTTGCCTGCCTTCTTATGCTACAGGCACATTTATGCGACACCTTTCGTTGGAGACGGTGGTAGCAATAAGACATGACGGCCATAGTTATGAAGTTTAGTTTAGGGGAACCGCAAGCACATCGGGGTGATTGATATCGAAATGAGGTGCGTTTGTTTAAGCACACGTCACTGGAACCTTCTTTCGCGCACATTGTGCAGGTCACTATCATGAGAACCGTCGACATAACCCGCGTATGCGCGGAAGCCGCTGGTCAATGTCGGACGGTCAGAGTTCTGCCCTGATTAACTTTAACCTTAGTGCGGCACAACGTGAATGCCGTAAGGGATTTTCTTGTCTGGCAAATTTCCTTGTAACCCGCGATAGCTGAGCTGAGGTAATAGACAACGGTCACGCTTTCGACCTGCTTTTTGTTGATTTAACGAAATCCTTTGATACTGTACTATATCAACGGCTCTCAGTAAAGTTGAGATGGCATGGCGTACCTGGAGCCGCAGTTAAATGGGTATCTGCTTTCATAGAAGGGCGAGAAGAGTGTGTACGATTTGGCCGCAGCTTTTCGTTTAGCTAAGCTGTTCTTAGTGGCCTGCTGCAGTGCCCCGTTCTAGAGCAGCTACTTTACGCATTTTATGTCAAGGACTTACCCCAGAAGATTGAAGTGCCCTTCGCTATTGTTTGCTGATGACCCCAACGCTCTGGAATATTGTGGAAATCCATGGGACTGTGAGGCGATTCGAAGTGCCTTGGGTAGTCTCTGGGACTGGTCAACCTTATGGTGGATGCTTATGGATCAGCCTAAATGTTTTGTCATCTGCATTGGAGGTGCTAATCCATTTAAGCGCTATGTAATCGGGGGAAGTTAAATCCCTGGTGTCATTTAACAGGTTGATTTAGGCATCGTTCCCAACACAGTAATTCACCCTGGGGACAATGGGAGGAAGCTGCTTGTAGAGGGTTCCGTAGAATATGGTTTGTACGCTGCGCCGTCGGTCTTCTAACTGTCAATATCCTTGTGAATCTGTTCCTAGCTTCTGTGTGACCGCACCTAGAGTACTGTAGCCAGGCTTGTCCACCTTGCCTTGTAAGGGACAAACAGAACTGAAGAGGGAATTGCAAGTGGGTTTAAGTTTGGTGCAGGGATTACGAGGGTAAATGTGTCCCGAAAGTTTGCTTAGCTTGGGTACGTACTCAAGGCACTACCGGAAAATTAAAAGAGACGTGGTCCTCACTTACCTTCTCCTAACGTTTAAGTTTGGTCCAAATTTGTCCTAGCTATTTAAGCCCGCCTTGCAACATTGTCACCGAATTCACCAGTTGAAGCTGTACAAATGGCCATCTGACCGTATAAAGACGGAATCGCGCTTGTCGCGCTGGGTTATTGAACTTCGGAACTGGCATCAGGAGCACGTCGATAAGCCGTCCACGGTTGAGGATTCGAGAGTCAGTTAGAGCCACTTGGGTCGTAGTTTCAAATCTTCCCCTTCTCTTAACCAACAGGTTTCTCCAACATTTCGTTCCTGCGTTTTAAATTCTTTTGCACCTTGGTGGTTTTTTAGTTAGCCAATATTCCTCCTCTTGTTTGTTTAGCTTACCC